GTTCAAAGAGCTCAAACTATTCTCAGAATAATTGCTGTAAGTTCAGCAGAAGCAGAAAGGGGTTTTTCAAAAATGAACATACTGTATATACTTGTGTATAAGCTGAGTTTCTCAGCACATTTTTTAACACAGTTTTTGTGGTAAAATTAGGTGCCTCGCCTGATATTCGGTTCAGCTTATACCCAAGTATATATGGTACTATGTTCAGGGAAGTCACCTTTTGTAATATATCAAACACATGACTATTGTCTAATTGAACTACCTCTAAAGGAATGGGATCCTACACCTACAGAGAAAAGATGGTTAAGGATAAATCATACAGCCAATGATGTTTGGATAAAAGAGAAAAACATTGCAAGTGAGGATGCCAATCAAGCAGCAATATAGAAGTATCTTAAATTATACTTTTTTTTGCTTTTGCCAGGTAATATTTAATATTTTTTTCATTCATATTTAAAACTCTTATAACAATCCAGTTTTGTGTACTTCTTTTATTTTCTTATTTAAGTTTTAACTAGGTAAAATAATTAACTACCTTTCAGTATATCTTTTTTATATTTTAAACTGTCATTAGGGCAGTGAACCGGTTGTTATATTTGAATCCCAGCACTGTCCCCTAGGTATATACCCAAAAGACTCACAAGTAGGGACTCAGACACTTAACCCACATGCCCATCAACAAACAAATGGCTATATCCAAGAAAGCTTCAAAAAGTTTGCAGAGAAAAAAAATAGCATTTCACCACCACCACCACCATCTTTCCCTCCTACTCAGACAGTCCCTAACTGTAGCCTTCTTTTGGTTGAAAATCATTTTTCTAAATTTTTTCTTTATAATAAAGGGGTCATGTTGCAAAGCATATCTTAAAAATTTGTCCATGACATGGTGATTGTTTAAAAGTTTCACTATTGCTTTTTAGAGACCCATAATAGTCCAATATATATACCAGTTTACTTATCCATTCCTCCAAAGACAGGCGTTTTGGTTGTTTCCATCTTTTTGCTTTTGTAGATAGTGCTGTGATAAACATGTGTGTGCATATGTATATATACACCAAAAAACATACATATATAATGTATTTTGTTATTTCTTTGGGCTATATACTTAATACAGAGATTGTGGTGACACGATATTTCAATTCATTTAAGGATGTGCCATAGTATTTTGTAAGGCAGCAGTGACTCCATGACAGGCCGAGCCTCTTAAAATAGGCCTAAATTTCATTTTTCCAGCTTTAAGTTTCGATTCTCTAACAAAGTCACCCTCTCCCCCGAAGTGACGCTGACCACACCTGGAAAGGTCCGAGTGATAACAATGACGCTGACCACACCTGGAAAGTTCTGAGTGACCACAATTGGAACATCCTGAGAGTGGAGCCAGTCAACCAAAAAGACCTGCACAACCAATTGTCTCCAGATGAAGTCATTGAACTATGGGAGGGTGAGGGGAACCGTTTCACCCAGTTTATGTAACCTGTAAAGAGTATAAAAACTGGGCTTGTGCCCCAGGCCGGGGTCCTCGTCTCGGAGGAGGCCACTGCGTTGGTGCTCTGGGACTTGGGCCCTAGCTCGAGCTAGTCAATACACTCCCTTGTGGTTTGCAACCTCAGTGACTCTGCCTCTCTGTTCCTGGGGCCAAGGGAAAGCCGGCAGTAACAATTTTCCATAAAAGCTGGACAAGCAATCCCACCTGCAGTGAATGCATGTTCCAAACTTTCCATATCTTTTCCAGCATTTGTTATTTTCTGTTTTGTAAAATTTTTCTATCAGTGCTGGTTTGAGGTGCTATCTCATCATTGATTCATCTGTATTTCTCTTATAGCTAATGATCATGGACACACACCCCCCCCACCCACTTGTCTATCAGTTTGTTGTGCTGTGGTGGCTTGTGTGTTGCTGTGATGCTAGAAGCTATGACTTAGCTAATTCAAGTGCCAAGAGGGTGACCCGAAGGGAACGAGTTTCACCAGAGCTTCCAGAATAAGGACAGACTACAAAAAAGGATTAGGCTGTCCACTTCTGAGGAAGTGACACTGAAAACCTTTTGGAGAGAACTGAAACATTGTGCGATACTGAAAACCTCACAAAAGAGCAGAATGCTGTCAGAGAGAGTGTCAGAAGATGAGCCCCTCAGGTCAGAAGGCACTCAAAATGTAACTGCGAAAAGCTGCCTTCTCAAAGTCAGATCAAGCACAATGATGTGACGGGAGTAAAGCCCGTGTGGAGCTGACAGAGCACAACCCCAAGGAGAAGAAACAGCCGCAAGCATCAATGAAAACTCAGGACTTGGAAAGTATTAAGCATGGATCTAGCTAAATTGAAAGTTGTAAACCATTAAATAGAAGGCATCAAAGTTAACGTTCTAGGCATTAGTGGCTGAAATGGACTGGTATTTGCCATTTTGAATCAGCAAATCATATGGTTTACTATGCGAAGAATGAAACAAGAAGAATGGCGTTGCATTCATTATCAAAAGGACATTTCAAGATCTATATTGAAGTATAATGCTGTCTGTGACTGGTTTATCCTATTCTAACCTGTCCACATTCAAAGAAGCCCAATCAATACCACTATTATTCAAATCTGCC